ACGCGGGACACCTGCGACGATCGGTCGCCTGCCTGGTGGAGATTCGCAAAGGGCACTTGCGACGATCAGACGCCCACCTGGAAAGGGCCGCCCCCTGCGCAGGAGGCGGGGGGGGGGAGGGGCGGCGCGGCGCAGCCGTTGTCCTGGAGCGCGCAGGGCCCGTCAGCCGTCACCGGACACCCCAGCGCGTTCACGGCGGGCCCTCTCGCCGACGAAGCCGACGCTGCGACGCCGTCGATGGCGCCGACGCCGACGACGACGACGACGCCGACGACGCCGACGCCGACGCCGATGGCTTGGGGACAGAGCAGGCGGTGGAGCAGAGGCCAAGGGCGCTAGACGAGCAGGAGCAGGAGACCACCCACGCACGCACATCCTCGACTGACCCTCCATCCCCGCGCGGCCGGTGCCTCGACAGAGACCTGGAGGACGTGTTGGGCCCCTGTGGCAGAGCCCCCGCCACCCGCGCTGACGGACGCCGGCATCGACTCCGACGCCGACGCCGACGCCGCCGCCGACGACGACGACGACGCCGACGCCGATGCCGATGCCGACGACGCCGACTCCGTCGAAGACGCCGACGACGACGCCGTCGACCCGGGGACAGCGCAGGCGTTGAACAGAAGCCGGGGGCGCCAGACGAGCAGGAGCTGGCGACCGCCCGCCCGCGCACTTCCACTGACCCTTCAGCCCGCGGCAGCGACGCGCGGACGGACGCGCCCCACCCTGACGCCGCCCCCCCTTGAAACAGCGCGAGCCCCGGCGCCCGGGAGCGACGGCGCCGCGGCCAGCGCGCGACGCTGGCGCGTCTGCCTGGGAGCGGCTGGACACCGGGCCTGGCCCTGGGAACCGGCGATCCCCCAGCCCTTTCGCCGCCCGCGGGGCGGGGCCTGGCGCCCGGCAACGTCGACGGCCTGGCGGGGCCCGACAGGCGGCAGACGGCCGACGACGCCGACGCCGACGCCGACGGCCCAGGGACAGAGCAGGCGATGGAACAGAAGCCGGGGGCGCCAGACGAGCAGAGGCAGGCGACCACCCGCCGGCGCGCATCTTCGGCTGGCCCCCCGGCTCGCGGCAGCGACGCGCGGGCGGGCGCGCTCCGCCCTGGCGCCGCCCTCCCCCGCAACAGTGCGAGTCTCAGCGCCGAGGAGCGACGGCGCTGTGGCCAGCGCGCGCCGCTGGCGCGTCTGCCTGGAAGCGGCTGGGCACCGGGCCCGGCCCTTTCGCCCGCGGGGCGAAACCGACCTACGTCGGCGGCCTGGCGGGGCGGCAGGCGACGGACGACAGGCGGCGAGCACGGCAGCAGCAGAAGCGGCAGCATCAACGCTTGGAACCAGGTGAGCCGCCGCGCCAGACGGGGACGGGCGGCGCGCCGCCCGACGGCGGCTTGAAACCCCAGATCCCGACATGAGGAACAGCTTTACAAAGTCAGGATCGAAGGGGCGCAGCGGGGCGTTCACGGGGAGCCGCCGGGCAAAAATATCAAGCGACTCCAAGTCACCCTAGGAGCGATGTTCAGGCGCCAGGCACGCGTTCGTCCAATAGCACTTCTCACCCGGCTCCAGAGCAGTATTCGACCCGCTCCAGCACGACCGGCAAACGCGCGCCAGCTTCGCGGGCTCCTTCCGCCACCGCAAAGGGGGCGCGCTGTCCACGGGTTACGCGCTGCACCTCGGGGTCGACTGGGAACAGCTGCTCGAGCGGCACCTGCGGCGCGGCGATGGCGCGGGCAAGGAAGGCGACGCCCCGCCGCGGAGAAGCGCCCTCGGCCCAGGCTGGCGGCCGCGCTCGAGGACGGCCGCGACACCCGGGGGAGGGGCGTTCCTGGGCCTAGCATCACTTCCTGCCTCGTTTCCTGGGGTTCTCCTGTATCCGGTTTCACTGTCCATGCTTTTGTAGCGATCAGCTGCTCCTGGGGTTCGCAATCGCCTTCCATCCTGTCCGCCGTCTATTTGCAGCGATCAGCTGCCGCTCTTCATCGCCCCTTTTTCCGTCACCGTGCATTTGCAGCGATCAGCTGCTTCTGGGGCTCGCCGTCGCCCCCCGCCCTGTCCTCCGTGCATTTGCAGCGATCAGTTGCCGCTCCTCATCGCCCCTTCCCCCGTTGCTCCTGGCCTTGTTTCGCAGCTTGCAGCCGCCCCGCGGGCAGCCCAACGCGCGCTGCCCCCGGTCGCGTTGCAGCCCTTTGCCCGCGAGATGTTGCCCCTTCCCCTGCTCGCCATGCGCAGTCAGTCTGCCTGTGCTTGCCCTCGCCGAAGGGCCTCTGACCTGTCCGCTGGAGGGCGCGGGCCGGCTGCGGCCCGGCGTGTCCCGCTTCCTCCTCGCTCGCGGAATCCTCGGGGGAAGTCCCGGAGCGGCCGTGGCCCGTCCGTCTTCCGTTCCTTCCTTGCGGTGTTTGTCTCCTGCGCGCCAACGTTCATCTGCGCGTTCTACGCAGTGCCTGGAGGCTGTTTTCTTCCACGTTTGCGACTCTTCCGCCGTTTCTGTCCTCTTTGGTGCTTGCGCTCCTCCTGCTGCCCCGCTCGCTGTTCTACGTCGTGGAGCCCCACTGGGTCCTGTGTTTCGCGTTCGGCGAGGTACCTGGGGAATCGTTGGCCCGTTTCGCCCTTTTTCTTTCATGTCGCCGCCGTCATGGGCAACAGTGTTTTTTCCTTTGGTCGCAAGTGGGGTCGGTCTTCCACTGCATCTGTATCCAATTCGACACCTACATGGACGTGTTCCCGGTGCCGCTTCGCGATGCCGTCCGCGCAATTTTGGCTTCGCGGAGCTCCGTCCCGCTCTGCGCATGGCGTTGCTCACCTTTCTGTGCTCCCTTTAGATTGTGGCGCGGCCTGCCCTTGCTTGCGCGGCGTTCGATTCGCTTCGCGCGCCTGCGTACCAAAAAGTATCCCCACTTGCCCATCCAAAACCCGACCAAGAAATTGCATCAGCACGCAACGGACCCGAAAACGGACAGCCATTATTTTCGGAAAAAGGATGATATCTTCTGCAACTTTGGGGAGGGTGGCCCTCCTGATCCTCCTCCTTTTCCTCCCCCTCCCCCTCCTCCTCCTCCTCCTCCTCCTCCTCCTCCTCCTCCTCCTCCTCCTCCTCCTCCTCCTCCTCCTCCTCCTCCTCCTCCTTTTCCTTCTCTTCATCATCACCATCACCAGCCTTGTCCTCTTCCTCCTCCCCCTGGCCCTGGGGGAAGTTCACCTGGTCACCCTTTCCTTGGAGCCCCCGAGTGCCCGAAGGCACCGCGGCCTGAAGGGCGGAAACTTCGGACATCAGGGGGGCGTCGTTCCCAAGGCCCCGGGGGAAGGGACGAGGGACGTCGACTCGGCGGCGGCACCATCGAAATTTTTCGCCCCCCCCCCCCCCCACCCATGCCGCATGCCCCCCCCTTTCCGGGGCCCTGAAACTTCGGCCGTGCGGGACGGAGAGTTTCATCGTTTCGGCATGCGGAACCTCCGAAAGGGGGGTGGCAGAGGAAAAGGACGCAGGTGGGTGGACAGCGGTAAGGCCGAGTCGTTCGGCCGCTCGGTCGGCCAGGGGGATTTTAGGGGGATCTTGGAGCCTTCTTGCCATTTTGAAGGCCATAGAGCAGAAAATGAACCCGCGTCAACTACGGCCCCCAAAATGGTGCCCGGAAGCTCGTTTTTAGGGTTCCTCTTAGGGCGCTCTTGGAACCGTGCCCCTTTTTGGGCCCTCTTCGGGGGGGGCCCTCTTCGGAGCCCGTCGGGGCGAAAAGGCGAGGAGTCAAACAATCGTGAACAACATTTCGCCGGATTCCATACTGAAGTGGATGGGGACACATTTAGGGGTTCGGTCGGATTTGAGCTGTCTTGGAGGGTTCGGTGGGGTCTGGGCAAAAGGCCGCCCTTTCATGTCTGGTCTCGGGGGGGTCCAAAACTGCTCGTCTGGGAGGGTTGTGACCCCCTTTTATTATATATATATATATTATATATATATATAATATATATATATATATATATATATATGGATATATAGAGATGGGGTAGGGTTTTGAAAGATCTTGTTTTTTTGAGTTTTCTTCGGGAGGCTCGGAGGGCAGTCTAGAGCTGTGGACGGAGCGGGTCGGTGGGCCCGACCCCGTTCGAATCCCATGCGGGAAGCTGCATTGAACCATCCTGGGCCATTTTGTTGAGCGATCTGGGAGTCAATCTTGGGCTCGCTTGGGCCCTCTTGGAGCCATCTTGGGCTCTTGGACGCGCCCCCCCCCCTCCCCCTCTCCGCAGCCCGGCCAAGGGCTTGGCATCGCTCGGACGTGTGCATTTTTCCTTCGGCGAGGAGCATCCTTGATCATTTGGCGAAAAAACAACGCATGAAACCGAAAAAAACACAGGGAATGGACGCCCGAGCGATGGCCACGGGGAGGAGGAGGAGGGGGAATCCCCTCCCCGGAGGGGAAGAAGTGAGTTAACAGAACGAGTGATGGTGGGATTGCTCAGTTGTCAGTGCGGGCACCAGTGACATGCGCAACGCGTTGAATCTGATAATGAGGACCTCATGAAGGCCGCCAGTCCGCAAGGACGACAGAATGGTCCCCTCTGGCTGATGTGCATGAAAAGTGAATGTGTCGGACATGCGCTTCTTCTTTGCGCCATGAATAGTTGCGTTATACGATGGGCATGTGAAGATTACATCTGTGTGGGCTTGTGTGTAATGGTGCACCTGAGCAAAGCGACGACCGTCTTCAGAACGGTACGGAGGAGTGGAACAGTTCATGACAGCGACGAGTATCACGGCGGTGTTGGTGAGGCGGAGGGCGACGACGACGACTAGGTCACGGAGTTTGATGAGCCAGAGGAAAATTGAGGGGGGGGACCAGCGTGATGTGGGGAGGATAAGGATGAGTAGCTTTGGCTCCGGCTGCAGTGGCAGCCACATGGAGGCATAAGATAGAGGAGCCCGTGTCGGTCAGGTCATTGTCATCCATGCCTCCGAACGTTCACCATGTCTCTTAGTTCTGTTTGGCTTGGTCCCCCACTGTTCCTCAGGCCATGTTCCGTGTTTACTACGAGGGTTTCCTCGCTTGGGACTTGCGCGTCACTTCGGAAGCGCTGCCACCTGACATGGTCACCCCGCCGTCTGCACAAGTGTGGGTGAGGGCAGAGTGGAAGAAGGAGGAGGAGGTCTAAGAAATTCTAGACGTTTCGCGTATCCCCACCAGCCTTCCGTAGCCGTTTAGCTCAAGCCGTCTGCGGGCAACCCCCGCTCTCGAGGGGGCGCCCGACGCACCGCCTGGGCCGCCGCGGCCCCCCCGTGCCCGCCCGTGCCAGGCCGCATGCGATAGCGGGTTGCTGCCAGGCCCCGGCCGAGCGCCATGGAGGATTCTGATCGCGATGCCGATCGGGTGGATGAACGACAAGGCGGAAGTACAGGCTTGGTGCAGGACCCGGGGGGCCACGCACTGGCCGCAGCCAACTCCCCTTTTGGATAACACCCCTTCTCAGATCCCCCCTGGACAGCCCTCGCCCCTAGGATTTGGGGGATATCCGACCGACCTCAGAACGATCGATCTCACGTCGGGTCCCCCGATCGATCCCGCAGACCTTGGTGAAAGGAGGAATGATAATTCGGCCTTCTGCCGAGGAGAGGACGGGTCCCGCAGGACAAGCCTGACTTACTCAAGAGAAGAAGCGGCCGTTAGCCGCATCCCTGGTAACCCTGGCAGCCCTGGTACGCAAGACATCGCCGCCCCCCGTCTCCTCACCTTCGACTTCATCCCCCCCCTTACGTTCCAATCGCAGGGTCCTCCAGCGGCCCTCTCTCCCGAGGGGAACGCGTGGGCGGCGCCGACGCCACTGGCGCCGACATGTCGGGGGGCCTTCGCCCCAATCCCGACCTCAGAGCCCAGGGCCACGGTGGCGCCCCACTTGGGCTCCGCCCAACTCCCCCCGGAAGGGGGGCCCTGCGGCGCCCCTCCAGCTGGCGCAGGCGCGGCCGTTCTCAGCGGCAGCAGGCCCCTTCAGAATTGCGCCCTCTTCTCCCCCTCGGGTGAGCGAGGCGCTCTTCACCCTCGACGTCCGAGCCCCGATGCCTCAGCGGGCGCCCCTGGCGGCCAGCAGACCCTGCAAAGAGAACAGGGCCCGTTAGGCCAGAAGGGAACGGAGCGGCGGTCTCACCGGGCGGCGCGTCAGCTTCCTGTGGCGACAGGACCCCTCAGGCATGTATTCTCTTCTCTCCCACAGGCGACCGAGGCATCCTTGCATCCCCGCGCCCGAGCCCCGACGCCCTCGCGGGCACCCCTGGCGGCCAGCAGATCTCTCAAAGCGAGGCAGGGCCCGTCAGGCCAGAAGGGAACGCAGCGGCTGCGTCATCGGACGCAGAAGGAGAAGCAGCGCCCGTTAGGCCAGAGGGGAACGGGGCGACGGTCGCAGCTGCCGATATGGCAGCCCTCTTGGGATACCCCCCCCAGAGTTGCGCCCCTCCCCCACCCCCGCCCGCGCGCGCACACACGCGCGCACACGCACGCACACACGCACACACAGACACACACACACACACACACACACACACACGCACGCACGCACGCACGCACGCACGCACGCACGCACGCACGCACGCACGCACGCACGCACGCACACACACACACACACACACACACACACACACACACACACACACACACACACACACACACACACACACACACACACACACACGCATGGGCGAACCAAGCACCCTTGCTCCCCCGCGCCCGAGCCACGACGCTCTCGCGGGCACCCCTGGCGGCCAGCAGACCCATCGAAGAGAAGCGGTGCCCGCGAGGCCAGAAGGAAGCGCAGCGGTTGCGCCATCGGAGTCTCAAGGAGAAGCAGGGCCTGTTAGGCCAGAAGGGAACGGGGCGACGGTCGCAGCTGTCGATATGGCAGCCCTCTTGGGATACATCCCCCTCAGAGTTGCGCCCCCCCCCCCCCCCCCCCCCCGCGCAGGCGAACGAGGCGCCCTCGATTCCCCGCGCTCGAGCCACGACGCCCTCGCGGGCACCCCTGGCGGCCAGCAGATTTATCAAGGAGAAGTAGGGCCCGTTGGGCCAGAAGGGAGCGCAGCGGTTGTGTCATCGGAGTCGCAAGGAGAAGCAGGGCCCGCTCGGCCAGGAGGGAACGGGGTTTCGGTCACATCGGTCCTACAAGGAGATACAGGGCTCGTCAGGCCCTCAGAGAGCGGCGCACAGCATCGCTCCGCAGCAGCGACCCGCGATCTCCCCGGGGGGGGGCCGCTGCGGGAAGGCGCGCGCCCCCCCGTCAGAGCCTGCGCGGCCATCAGAAGCCCGCGCCCTGGACTGGACAGCGGCGCGCTGGAAGGGCAGCCATCCCCTATGGAGATGGAGGACTCGCCCCCAGCTTCCCCCGACGTGGTCGTCGCTAACAGCCGCGACCCCGCAGGGCCAAACCTCGGCCACGCCGGCCCAGCGGAGCCCCCGGGGCAGGTGTCCCCCCCCCGATGAACGCGGAAGGCCCCCCCCCCGGGCTACCGCGACGCGTCCGCGATCAGCTGCAGAGACCCTGGCGGGCCAACTCCTGGCGACGCCGACCCAACAGGGACGCCTGGGCAGCCAGCGCAGCCAGCCCACGAGGGCCCCGCGCGGCGGGGGCCGCCCCCGGAGCAGCAGGTCTCGCACAGAGCAGCCCCACTACGGGGGACCCCGGAAAAACGCCTCGAAGCAGCCATCCGAGGGCCCTCTGCAGGGCGCCAGCGAGGGCCGCGGCCGAAGTCGCCGCCGCGGCCAGCCGCGGCCGCCCCGCCTCGACTGCTGCCGCGGGCGCGCGAGCTGCGACGCTGACGCCCGCAGCCGCCGCTGCGGCCGGCGCGGCGGCAGCCGCCGCTGACGCCGCGGCGGGCCAGACCGCCGCGCTCGCTTGGATTCGCCAGCAACCAGAGACCCCAATCGCTGCATTATCAGGGCAGGCGGGCTGCCCGCGCAGGGCAGGAACACATGCCCCCGCCGATCAGGGCCAGCCGCCCGCGATCCCAGGGCAGCGCGCTGTCGCCTCCCCGACCGCCTCCCCCCATTCCCCTCCCACTACCCCCCCGCCTCCTGGTCTCCCCGCCCCTTCCCCCGTCTCCTCGGGCCCACGAGGGGGCACGACCCCCCGGCTTGCCCCTAGCCCCCCGACTGGCCCCCCGCAGACTACCAGTCCGACGCCAGGAGTGGAGGCGGCCCTTCAGACCTCGAACCTGGCGGCGCCGGATATGACGCCCGAAGAATACAAGACTGCACCGACGCCCGCGCACGGTGGATGGACGCCGCGGGGCGCGCCAACGCCGGCTGGCGACAAAGCCGCGAGAGCGACGGCCCGGCCAGCGGCCCACGGGCAGCGGACTACAGATGCGCAGGCAGAGGAGGCACCATGGGAGCCCTCCCATGGATAGGGAGCTCCACCGAAGGCCCCAGTGGCTCCCCACCACCGATTTCGGCACACCCCTCACACGTTTCGTGGCCCCATAGGGAGCTCCACCGAAGGCCCCAGTGGCAGGGTTCGCATGCCTCCCCACCACCCATCTCGGCACACCCCTCACACGCTTCGTGGCCCCATAGGGAGCTCCACCGAAGGCCCCAGTGGCTGCGTTCGCATGCCTCCCCACCACCCATTTCGGCACACCCTTCACACGCTTCGTGGCCCCATAGGGAGCTCCACCGAAGGCCCCAGTGGCGCGGTGCCTGTGAGAAGAGGGGCCTAATTTGCGTGCCCCCTCCTTCGTCTCATATCCGCGCAGTGCTCGCAGCTGCATATGGTTGGGTCTTTCGCCAGGCTAATGTACTGTTCTGTCTGCCTCTCACTTCTATTGCATTCAAAATTTTGCACCTCGCATTTTTTTGTTTTGAAAAGTGGACCTCGCAGGTTAAGCAATTTATGTCATTGAAAAACTTGCGCCTCGCTTTTTGTTGCAACATTGGGTGTGCAAATGTTAGTTTTTGCAGACGTATTTCCTCACATTGGTTTGCTCGCAATTGGGGCGCATATTTAGCATGTCCAAACAAAAAAAAGAGCTCGCACCTGTTCTTTTTTCTCCAAATTGACTTTTATTTTTTTGATGTGGTTTCTTCTTTTGCTTGTCCTTTTTTCCCAAACATTGGGCTTCTGCTTTTTTGTTTCCCAACCATCTTGCGGCGTTGGGTCCTCGTTTTGGGAGACGGCGCCCCGCGCCCCCCCCCCCCCCCCCTTCCCCCTTCGCATCATCATCATCATCATCATCATCGCCGCCACCGATTTCGGCACACCCCTCACACGCTTCGCGGCTTCGTGGCCCCATAGGGAGCTCCGCCGAAGGCCCCCGCGGCAGGGTCAGCATGCCTCCCCACCACCCATTTCGGCACACCCCTCACACGCTTCGTGGCCCCATAGGGAGCTCCACCGAAGGCCCCAGTGGCTGCGTTCGCATGCCTCCCCACCATCCATTTCGGCACACCCCTGACACGTTTCGCGGCCCCATTGGGAGCTCCACCGAAGGCCCCAGTGGCAGGGCCGGCGTGCCTCCCCACCACCTATTTCGGCAAACCCCTCACGCGCTTCGTGGCCCCATAGGGAGCTCCGCCGAAGGCCCCAGCGGCAGGGTCCGCATGCCTCCCCACCACCCATTTCGGCACACCCCTCACACGTTTCGTGGCCCCATAGGGAGCTCCACCGAAGGCCCCAGTGGCAGGCGTTCGCATGCCTCCCCACCACCCATTTCGGCACACCCCTCACACGTTTCGTGGCCCCATAGGGAGCTCCACCGAAGGCCCCAGTGGCTGCGTTCGCATGCCTCCACCACCCATTTCGGCACACCCCTCACACGCTTCGTGGCCCCATAGGGAGCTCCACCGAAGGCCCCAGTGGCAGGGTCCGCATGCCTCCCCACCACCCATTTCGGCACACCCCTCACACGCTTCGTGGCCCCATAAGGAGCTCCACCGAAGGCCCCAGTGGCTGCGTTCGCATGCCTCCCCACCATCCATTTCGGCACACCCCTCGCACGCTTCGTGGCCCCATAGGGAGCGCCACCGAAGGCTCCAGTGGCAGGGTTCGCATGCCTCCCCACCATTTATTTCAGCACACCCTTCACACGTTCGTGGCCCCATAGGGAGCTC